CCCCCCCCCCCCCCACCCACCCCCGCGCCCCCATGATACATACCTCCTCGCGAACTATCGGCGCGTACACCCCCCCGCAGGTTAGCCCGCGCAACCGCATCAACGTTGCCGTGGACTGGTTGAAGGTCAGGTTTTTCGGTCGTGATATCACGCGACTCTGACGTGGGATACCACGTCGTCAAGAACGTGCAGGATTCATTCTTCGTGTTTTCTCCAACAGAAACTTGGGGTTTGTATGCATGCCGGAGGGACAGCGCCCATATCTGGGGGCGCCAGCAGTAAGCGTATGGCGCTGGAAGTTCCGCCATTTGCCGTATGTCTGTGGTTGAGTGGTAGTGGGTTTCCACAAGGACGCTGAGCCGATTGGTTGCGTAAGCTGCTTCGGTCATGGCCATGTGTGTCGAGGAGTTGCACATAGCAGCGTTAGACCGTACTTGCAACTCTCTTTCTGTTGACCTTGTACATACGGTGAATGGGTGGCGAATCGACAGAGCAAGCGAGAAGGTACTGGTGTACGTCTGTCTCCAAGGAAAAACACTGGAATGGCGTGTGACCACCAGTCACGGGGGGGCCCTCCACCCATTCTGAGGGTATTTCGTCTGAAGGGGTCGAGGTACCACCTTTTCGAAAAGGTTGCTGCATCTTGGAGCCGAAAGAAGGCCACAGACTCTCCAAAAAGGGTGGAGACGTCAGCGTAGTACGCATTGTGTAGGGCACCCGCGTAGGTTTTCCTGAGGCATTTTGTGTAGGGGTCGGCGCTTCGTTATTCCGTGATGGTGATGCGCATGTAGGGCGCGCTGCGTGTCATCTTTTTGAGCCGCTTTGACAAGGCCGCGAGAATCCGGAGTGCCGCGGCAAGGCTAAGTCTCAAGTAGACGACGGGCACGAACAGCTCATGTCCGGTCCGTGTGTCAGTGGGAGAACTCTTAGGACCCTGTGTTACGTGTTTCACTTTGTGTGCTGTTGCGCGTACTGCGGGGTCTTTCCCGCGGACGTCACCCTTTGTTTTGCCTTCGTGACTTCTGTCTGCGTTTGTACTTCCTCTGTATCATAAGTTAGGGTACCTAAATTTGTACGGGCCCTTAACCGTGTCCGATCTGTTTGCCGATTTTTTTGTTGAAATCTTCGGAGTTTTTTTAGCAAGAAACATTTATTTTTATTTTTATGCATGCGCCACCCCGCGTGCATGAGCGGCCGAGAAAAAACCAGTCGGCCTGAAAAAGGCCGTATTTTGCATGTATCCTGCCCCCTCCGACCAGGCGGGGGGGGCGGGGCAATGACAAAAACAAGGTAAAAATACCAAGAATTATCCCTGACCCTAGACCTAGCCCCCCCTCTACTCAACGATCCATGATGCGTCCCCCGTACTAAAAACAACATAATAGTGGCCCCACACTGAATACAAGACACTTGGGGTGACCACACTAAAAACAAGACACTTGCGGGGCAAAGCAAGCAACAGTAGGGCCCTCATCCAACCCCCCCCTCTACTCAACGATCCATGTCGCGCCCCCTATACTAAAAGCAGTATAGTAGTGAACCACACTAAAACCAAGACACTTGGGGGGGGCACACTAAAATCAAGACACTTGCGGGACAAAAAGAAGGGTTAGTTGGTGGCGGGGAAAAAATAGAGAAAGTCGACAATTCCTACCGCCATGGCATAGCGCCTACCAACCGATAATTCGGTGCCCCTTTTGCGAGGTGGTGTGCTGGGGGGCGATTCCATCGCTAGAGTGAGTAGTGGGCCGGTAGGGTACTAATATTAGATGGTTTTGAGAAATTTGTCGAGAATCCTCAAAAAAAATCTCAAAATATTTTCCCAAAAATATTCCCAAAACAGGCCAAAATAGGGTATATTTTGACCAATATTAGGTACAGAAATAGATCTTCGTTTTTTTTTTTCTTTTTTTCTATCGCTTCGTCTTTGTTATATCTTTCGTACAAACCCGACTATGCTACCATCACTAACACGGTTGCACCCAGACAATCTATTGCATTTAGGTACCCTAACTTATGATACAGAGGAAGTACATGGTGTACAGAGGGTGACTGCCCCGTGCATTTTGGCGCTAAGAACTTGTAAGTTTTCGTTTGTAAGTGTAAGACTGTGTGAAGTTTCGCGTGAAATGCCCTTCCCCTTTGCGAAAACATGTAGCCTGACGAACTTAACCGCGCGAAGGGGATAGTACCCTGTACGAAAGCCGTCACCGAGACAAGCGCTAGGCTAGATTCACCAGGAACCAAACAGTGGAGGGTGTCAGTGGTTGTGAAGCTTGTTAGTCCAGAGGGTGTGCCTATGCCGAAGTCAACAGAACCCCAAGTGTGATGTGGCGTTCTCGATGGTTGGGATGCTGCAGTGTGAGTAGTTCACTTTCGGCCACTAGCAGAAGATGATATCACACGTCTTTCGGACACGCTGTCGAATTAATTGCGCACGGGAATCCTCATCTTTTGCGATCGATGCATTGCCGTCCTGAATATTCCGTCATCGTGGCGCTGAGAAAAAGTTACTGTTCGTGATGCCCTGAGATTCGGTCATGACGGTGAGTCTCCGTCTGTGCCGAGGGCTGCATTTTGTCGTTTCGTCCTTGTGGGGTCTTGCAAGAATGCAAAGACGAGGGTCAAAGGTTGCATCAACACACGATTGACCCGGGCCGGTGCAAAAGCTGACCAAATTCCACTGCTTCGTTGGAAGCATGGGGAACGACGCTGCCGGCATCAGCACCCAAAAGGAGTTCACTCCTCGACGGCGGTGGACGGCTGTCTGAGACGTTTCACAAGTCACGGGTCAGCGCGCCGCTATCGTCACAAAACCACACACTTCCGTTGGTTTCTCGGAGAAACACCATCTCCAGCTAGGTAGGGTAGATGGTGAGCTCTAATCGACGAGTATGGTCGGTGTGTGTTCATTAGGTTTCGTGACTAGCAAGGATTAGTTCGATGATAGTGGACTTTGGAAGGAACTGCCGCGTGCTTCCTTCATCAGAATCAAGCCAAATACTGCAGAATGAAACGTGTTACCCCGGATCGGACATCTGTACTCGCGAGGGGACGAGTTGTTCCTACGCGTCGAACCTTTGAGTGCCTTTGCAATTAGCTAGCAACTGAAAGGCAAGACTCTGAGGTAGGTGTTTACTCTGAATGACGAGAGATTACTTGGACGTGAGAAACAAATATGGGTCATTTTCACATCAATCAAGCATCTTCATTCCAGAGTAGAAATTTCTGGTCTGCGTGCGGGTAAACCATCAGGTTCCAGAACGGCGAGGCGTTGGCATTGAGACGTCATTCGCGGTATTACGTGCAATTGTTGAGGCTTGGCGTAAAACAGCAGGGCGTGCCGTTTTGTTGGGACGAAATTCATTCATTCATTCGCAGTCACAAACAAAGCTTTTGCAGGGCCATATAGATATGTGAAACGCTGTAAGTAGGGCACATGCCTTTGCCCTCGACCCAAAAGGGTCGGTCGAGATACCAAAATGACTCTACCTGCGTTGGTACTGATGCGATGGCCAAAGGAAGCGCGATGAACGCCATCCATTTCACAGAAGAGCAAATTACTGTACATCTAACCGAGGCTACCAGTTCGACATACACCGCGTTCCTGTGCTTTCGAGCCGAAACGTGCGCTCCTCCCTACGTTGAGCCAAGCGATAAATTTTTAGACTTGCAGAATTGAGCTTGCAGATCGCCCCTGTAAGATATAGTCGCAGCAGTCTCTAGACGTGAGGATCCTCGGGGGTACGTGTTGAGAATTTCGTATGTTGATGGGTACCACCGATGCAGATACGGGGACCCTTTTGGCCTTGGTTGCGGTGTTGAAGGGTCGCGCATCTAGCGCACTGCTTTCGCTCTCTCCACCGCTACCGCCGTCTCTCTCCAATCAAGTTTCCTTCTCCAACGCTTTCTCCAACGCCAACGCAATCTCAATCTCTTCCTCTCTCTCTCGGCCTAACACGGCCGACTACCCACTGCCCCAACAGACGCCCAACACGGGATTGCTGCACCCCGCGTAGTTTACCTTTCAGCCCCTACCGCGGCTAATTTTCCGCACCGTACGGCGAAGGAAGCAACGGGCTGCATTCAGTCCACGGAATGCCCCTCGCATCGTTGTCTCGTCTGACGCTTCTAAAACGTTTCCTTGAGGAAGGTATGGAGACACGTTCGCGTATCACTGGGACGTGTACAACTAACTGTAGTCTACCTCGCAAGACATCGGAGCCTGTTGAAAGTGGGTTTGCACAGAATGTTATCGAATGCGCACCATATTAATTCCGTGTGGTTTTGAAGATGTGAGTGTTGTTTCCCTGAAAGGCTTGACGCCACTTCATGGCAGTTTCAGAGAAGGTCCCTCAAGTCATGTGACCCTTCGGAGAGGTGCATCAACACATGAACACGAGAATTGTTTTCTGGGAGGTGCACATTTGCTCAAGCGGCGCTGTGCCGCACTCGATCTGCGACGAAGGACGAGCAGCGCAACGGGTCCCGCCAAACAGAGACGCAGAGCAGTGCCCACCTCGTGCAACAGCGATGGTGTGGGCAGACTCGCCAGACCTCGCTGTCGTCGGAGTGTCGACCGTAGCAGAGGTGTCTCTGGCGATCATCGCGCTCCATTTCGTGGTGAATCGGCATTGGCCGGCATACCACACCAAGGTCCCCGCACTCGTCGTTTGCTCCGCGCTAGCTGTGAGTATGGCTTGAACATGCATGTATGCCTTCCACATGCATATCTTGAAATGTTCGGGCTGCTCGTGTGGTCTATATCTCAGGCCCCAAAAGGTTTTCTAACACAACCTCTCCAGCAGGTCGGTTCGTATTCATTCGTGTGTGATCGTTATTTCGTGGTGATTCGCACCCATATCTGATGATCATGATGCAAGCGTCACTCGTGCCAACATATTTACAAAGCTACCCAGCGCTTAGACTACAGAGCAAAGGTAACACGGTTACCAGGGACGACCTTGCACACATGACAGACAGCCTATTGAGAAGGCTTCCCCGTTAGCCTAAGCTTATCTATCACCCCCTTTTACCTTAGTCGGTGATGGGGGGCTACTCTATAGTACATAGTCTACTATAAGTAGTATTTCTAGACTACGTACATACCATTGATTTTTTCTCCAAAACAATTTCCGTGTAAACTAGAAAGCCACGCCGGCTGCAGCAGTAGATCAGAGCATTGCCTTGAGCTGCCCCCGCCCTCCCAAAACCACATTTGGACCTCACACTGTACCGTACAGTTATAGCGTCTACCTGGCCGAGGTGATCTGTGTCGTAACGTAATCCTCGTTCAATAGGTAAGTGTTACAAGCAGACCCGACAGACGAATGCCTCTGCCGTTGCTGGCCGGAGGAGGGCAGCGCGACCACATGTATGTATATGCGACCGACTCGACCAGATCGAAGAAGGGCACGGACTACAGTACTACTGAATTTTGTTGTTATATTCTACTGTGTAGGCAGTGTCGTTTGTAACTGAAATCCCCTTCGCAGCACGACCTGATCACTGGATTTTGTCTGAACCTCCTGTGCGGATTAGAAAGCAAGCAAATTGAGGAAATCCTCTGAGAGAGTCTAGACAAGGACTTTGAGGCACGGCGTCTCTCCCCGAAAACGCTTGTGAGCGAAACGGAAGGCCCCTAGTATAAAGACACACCCGTACGAGCGCAGTGAAGGTACTGTCGGGGCGGGGGGAGAAGAAGTGGATGAGCGTGTCTTTTCCTCAATCGATCCAATATCCACGTGCCCATTGGAGACGTCCCCTCATATTCAGTTTGGACGTTACTGCAGAGACCCGTCCTTCCCGATGTGGAGATTCTTTACCTAAGGCTCCCTATTTCCGCCTTCTCGCCGCTACCTCGTGATTGATAAGGGTATGGTTACCATTCCGGCGGTGGCAATGAGATACGGGTGGTTAGGGCCACCGACAGAAGAATCGAAACGCCCAGTTGGATGTGCCACGGAGACGTGGATGCTGTGGTTGGGGGCCGGGGGGATGTTTGCGTGCGCGTTCCTCCGGGTGTACAGGAGCCACAGCGTTCTCCTCTGGCACAACGGCTTCATGTGGCCAGTCCCGCTTCAGCTTGGCATCACGATCATGCCTTTCGTCTTGACACCAGCAGCCCTCAACTCGGGCGCGGACGCATTGGTGTTCGACGAAGAAACGAATGAGTGCGAACGGGACTCCGAAATGCCGGAGGCCATCGTGGTCGGGTTCATGGCACTTCTCGCCGCCGCTACCGCCGCCCTGACGTGCCGGCTGCAGGCAGTACGGTTTCAGGTGATCGACGTATTCGAGCGCAAGTGTTTGTGCCAGCATTCTCACCTACGGGGGAGGTCCACCTGTTTGGCCTCGCCACTCATCTCGCACTTGGATGTTGCACGATGAACAGCTCGTAGTATGGCGGAAGGCACACGAACACGGTCATACGCATTTGACGACATCGCCGCGGTCAATGTTTTTTCATTCTGTAGCTGCGTCCTCAAGCTTTTCGGAAATATGGTTTATCGATGTGCCAATGACCAACTGTGCGCTCACTCCCCGTCCGATCCGCTTCACGAGAAAGCTCGGCTACCTCGCATGGAACGACGCGTGTCCCTCCCCCTACATTCTGCGAAACACTGCTCATGATGCCCTGAATATATTCTCCTCACCGACTAACCCATGTGGACGGTCCATCACTTCCTAAGGCACCGGAGGAGTGCAGCGCGGCCGTGTTGACGACCGTCGTTGTCCTTGCGGCCGCCCTCGGACTGCCCGTTCTCCACGCGGGCCTGGAAATGGAAAGGGATGAACGTCGGAGGGCGATGCTTGCAGCCTCGTCGCTCACCTCTGTGGCGATTGTCGCCCCTCCTCTGTGGGGGGCTGTCACGTCCTTCATTTTAGCTCGCGATCACGAACTGGTGGCGAGGTGATTACGCAACGACACGAATTCAGTGTGTAGAGGTTGCTTCGAAACGTGACGGTTGTTAAGTCTAGATTGAAAGTCGAAGGCGCACGGAGCAGCAGACTTCGAACAATCGTCCCATACAGTACCTTTGGAAACGATTTTTCTTCTATCCATGTGGTTAGTATGCAAGTAATTTCGAAGTTGTTGTGGTGTTTGATTTTGCGAGGAGTCAGGGAAGATTGCAAACCTAAGCGAGGGAAACAGTTGGTGGCTTATGAGAAGTGCCGTCGATGATGTCGATTTTTCGCCTGTCGAGTGTTGATCGCCCATGGACCAAAAGGGGACGATCACCCGGCCGCACCCTCCCCCGCCACACAGCCTCAGTCCCCACCGTCCCTCTCTGTCTGTGATGTCTGTCTGTCTGTCTATCTATCTTGCATCCCCGCCTGTCTCTCTCTGTCTGTCTTTCTGTCGACTTGTCTCGGCCCCTGTTTCGGGTTGCCCATCCTTCCAAAGCAGCGGAGAGCTCGGGTTAATCAGGGTCCATCAGCCAAAAGATCTCCAAAATATAACTCAGGACAGGATGAAAGTGAGAACCTTCGCGAGTTCCCCAGAAGGGCGGAACATGCCGGAGTTCTTGGCGATGACATCGTTTTTCAGTGATTCGCTTGACCGAGAATGTGTTCGAGACTACTTCTTGCTTCAGGTGAAGTACAACGGCCATACTCCGCAAAAGTCTTTGTTTTGATGAGACTTTTACTAACGGAATTTTCTTGCTGGAGAGCGATGCTGCTCCTGGAGGAAGATGCATATCACTAAGTCGACGTACTGGATTGTTGCCGCTTTGCACTTTTGTAGGCCTTTGCGAGCCACCTTAGTCAGCGCCCGTTTGAGTACATGGCGTTCACGATGCGGTTGCAGCCGGCTGCCGCAGGGTTGCAAGCGAGCGATCTCCGCATGAACAAATCGACAACAAGCGAGACAAACGGCTGGACTACCGAGTTCTTGTCGACCCTCTCTCCCTGCTCTCCTCCCGCCTGTGCAACAAGCGACCTGTTTTTTCACGCTGTTACCGCGGGTGATGGTTGAGCAAAATAAACCTGCCTGTCTTGGCTCCGTGCAGGCCTCGACCTTGAGGATTCTGGACCGGTACATCCGCGAAGGAGCACCCGTGACCATCCCTCTGTCCTCCTGCTGCAGAGACGAAATGCTGACGTCGAAGGCCTCCTCGGCCTTCATCTTCGAAACGGCTCGTCAGGAGGTCATGGCACGAATGGGAGGGGGTGGGCTCACCTACCGCGTGAGTAGGCCCACAAACAATTGCTTTTTGGTCCTCGTTGGCTGTTTCCCCCCACCTCGGAAAAGTGTGATGATGTTGACGGTGTCGCCTGACTTTGCCTGCGTTCAAGAGCGAACCCGTGTGCTCCTTCGAGCAGAAGTCGCGTCCAATGCACGTCGATTGCATCCCTCTTCCCGCGGCCCCTACGGCAAAATGAAGAATCGAAGGTGCCCTTCCGGGACGGTAAATCCTAGCCTGAAATAATGTGTTCACGAACAACGCCCAGCTTGCCCGCCGACGCCGTGTCATTTGCACGTTTCATTAGAACGCCCGTTGGTTTCTCCTTTCCCTGTGGACCACGTGCTCCCGTCCCACCTCCCCTGAAGATATCATTGTCAGATACCTTCGCATTCGGCAAAGGCGTGCCTGGGGACAAGGCCGGCGAGAACAGCAGTGGCCTTGGCACACCCTCTTCACTCCCGCCATCCCCTCCGAACCCCAACCCGCAGCAGCAGCAGCAGAAGCAGCAGAAGCTCCCTCCAGGAGCGTTTCCGGCCAAGGCTCAACCGACCCGCGGAACGAAGACCGCCGGGAGGGCGGCGGTTTCGGGTGGGGATATCAAGAGGCACGGGCTCGGGATTCTCGGCGGCAGAACCTCTGACTTGTTGGCTGTGTTCGGCCTCCGGCCCGACGGTAAACTCGGAATCGAGTCCGAGGAAAACACCCCGCGTGGAACACTGCACGGGTTAAGGTTCGCCCTTAGCGTCGAGGACGGGAAAAGCGGAGAAGGCCAATACCCTTTCGATCAAGACGGGCGGCCGCGACAGGGCGAAGAGGCGGCCCCGGGCTCGCTCGATGACCTCGACCCGTACATGGACCTCCAGGGGGACCTGGACTTCAACTACTCCGAGTCGCTCGCGTCGATCGCGCAGCTCGAAAACGACACGGGTCTCCATTCGGGATCGTCGTCGGAGGGACAGGACGGCACGAGCGACGAAGACGATGAGGACGGTCCGAGCGGCGAAGGAGACGATGATCAGGACGGCCATGTACACCAGAGCGACGAAGACGATGAGGACGGCGAGGTGATCGTCGTCGTCAACCCACTCTTCGCCGACCAGGGAATCAAACGCGCGTCACGTTAAGAAACCTTTGGATACTCTCGGCTGTTTTGGCGAGGGTGTTCAAATGATTTAGTTGAGACACTGTGTTCATTCACACGGTCGAGCGGTTGTGTGAGACGATCACCGGCACACAAGCGGAGGCACGGAGGCTTTCTGGGCAATGTCAGGAGACGTGCGTCGACGACTGCGTGCCGGTGGAGTCAAACGCTTGGAGAACTTGCCGGTGGAACGAAAGCTGTGTGAACGTAGGCTTTTTGTTGGCAATGTATATGGAATCTTTATTTTCGCTACACAAAGTAACTGTTACTGACATTGGCAAGGTTTTATGAACCTGCCGTTCTGCTGTGGGCGAAGGAAGTGCAGGAAGTTAACCCGATCGGAATGTCTTGACGGCAGCTTTTGCTGTTCCTCAAGCTTTGTGTGCATAGTTTGGGTGGGGGGGGATCGGTGCGTGGCTGGATTGACACTTCAAGTTTGTGTCATGCGGCGCAATGTTGTCGAGAAACAATCTATCTAGTTTATGGGCCACAGTTGTACGATAGCTTGTCGTGTTGTGTGCGTTTTCATGAGCCGTTGCGACGTAGCATATGCGCACCCACAACCCACGACGGTGTGGCAAAGGGGTCTAACAAATTTGAAGTCAAGAGGCCATAGGCTGCTCGTAAGCTAGAAGACGTGTATAGATCAGTTTTGCTCTAGAAAATTAACTCCGGTTGACCTGAATCTCCATAAGGCCATCGTCTACAGGTTTTAGTCGTGGATGAAACAGCAATAATATGGCGTCGACATCCACAGATATATCGTACTTGATCCTATAGGGCAATATAAAATAGGCATGGGCTGATACCTAACGGCGATGGTTTTTTCAAGAACTCTTTACCATCGCCTCGTTCAGAAAGTGACGATACATGGAACGTGCCGGGGACAACCAGAGGGATCTGAAGAAGAATCGACAGACGGAGCAAAGGGCACGAACGCGTCCATTGACCGCCTGGGAGAACACCGACCAGCAGTGAGCAACCTCTCCCTCTCTAACCACGGCACGACACCAAGCCGGCACAAAGCAGCTGAGAAGGTGCTCCTGATTGGATGACCAGAGCGGTATCTCGTGCTTTTCGAGCAGGCCACGGCGACAAAAGGGCAGGCAGTAGGGCAAATAAAGGATGTCACGCTACCGATCTCAAAAAAAAACTGATTGAGCAACCATCAACAACCACGCCACACATGCGCCACAGGATTGGTGGCAAGCCGCATCCAGCCAGCAAGAAACACATCGACAGCCCAAAACGTCAGTGGCCACAACCCATCATCAACGAGGTGAAAAGGTTCAATGTGTCCGGCAGTCGTCGTCAACAGGCGTTCGGAAGGTTGTACAATCGTTTGTGAAGGTGGTCCGCACACACACGTACCCTTAGGCGAGCCTCATTGCTAGGCAGAAGACACTGGAACCCGACCGGTTGGCGGCGAATTGATTGTTCACCCTCTTCACTATCTAATTGTGGGTGAATGTTGTTTCAACGAGCGCCAACCACCTCCGCCATGTCGTAGCAGAAAAAAAAATGATTTTCTGATGTCGGTCCCCCCGTGTTCACTTTTCGTTGTCTTTTCTGCACAATGAGAAGAACCTAAGTGGGTAGCAGAAATTGAACCAGGGTAATCGTTCCTGATAGTCAGAATACCTCTTTGGGGACGCAAATGTGTCCGAATACTAACGTATGCCACGCGAGCTTCACTGGACACCCGGACGGCGACATCATGAGCCCGAGGCCAAAACAGACTCGAAACACGAATTCTTCAACCGTGCCCTATCAGGAAGTAACAACAGCCCTGTTTGTTGGTGAGAAAAACCACGTGCACACCCATGCACGTGCTCAGGGAACACGTGCGACGGTAATCGCTGCAATGAAAATCCCGACGACCAAGGTGAAACTAACGTGGGACAAGCTTCAAAAGGAATGGTTACCGTCAACAGATGAACGCTCACTGGGAACACCCTCCTGCTGTTTCTTCCATGGCCAGGGGACAACCAAAAGCTAAGCAGCTACATGTAACTTGCTGTTATTCTCCTCGAGATCAATTCCACTTATTCAGAACACGGAACATACATAAAACTCCAGAAACAGCGCATGTGTAACCTTCTCCTGAAACTCAAACGTGTCCCAATTCCCTTTGCTAAATTCCCCTCATGCATCTCAAACAACGATATTCCATCCCATTTCTTGTGCGCATTAGCCGGAATCTATTCTCTTTATGCCACACAACTCAGGTCATCCTAGCAGACCTTGAACACTAGTCTAACGGCTCGAATCAAGCTGCGAAAACAATCACACCCAGAAGGGCCTCCATCAGATACAGCATTCCGAGATTATCGTCCCACCGAAAGGCAGTACCGCGCCCATGTGCGCGGAATAAATCGAACAAGAGGCAACAGTTAGATATACTCTTAAAGGTAGACATCGAGGTGGTGTGCGCGACCAGCAACAATCATGTTTCCGGATGTTCACGAAATTCTCCGATGTGCACAAACGAATCAACTTGCAGCGGCTTGGTGAGAACGTTCGCGTGGTTCCTACACTAACAGTCGAGGCCAATTTCCAGACAACTGCGTCAGCGGAATGTGCTGATTCCCCGAAACGTGGTTCCCACCAGCGATTTCAATCTGCCCTCCTGCTCCTGCTCGTTTGCTCGGAAGTTTTTGTCGTTGTTCTGTTGGTTGCCGGCATAGCAGGTGTCTCAACACGTTCTGGCCACTGCCACAATCACAACCTTACCCGCCACAGGAAATCACCTTCAATCAAGCATCTATCCCCTATTATAGTGCAACAGCTCGGTACATCGGTCAACTATTGCATGCGACTCTGCAACTACAAGGTCGTGCCGTGGAGTCCGCAGGAGCGGTGATAAGTGTCCACGTGTGACAGGTTGACAAGCACGTACTCTCTGAGGCGTTGGCGATTCTATTTTGCGCTTGATCATGACCTCGTAGTGATGAAAAAAATGGTAGGTGAGAGGTAGCCTGGTGGGAAATATCCCACCGTTCACTCTGACCCCATGCTGCCGTCCGCACCAACCTTGCCGTTGACCGCTTGGACGCCGTGAGCAGACTCGGTCGAGGAAACAACATATCGCCCGGTCTAAATCGGCAGTACCTTGGCCGCATTTGCAGTGAGGGAAGGGCGGTGAGCGCTGTCCTCTTCCCTCGCTTTAGCCCACTGCACGCTGCGGCACCTCTTGGGCTCCTCTGCATGGGCTTTGGAGATAGGGTCATGCTGATAAGGATACTCCCTCCCGTCAACGATCTGCCACCCGCTCGGCTTCAGCTGGCTCAAAAATTGCTGGGCCGCGGGTGAGAACGTGGCTAAGAATGATGATCGTCGCCTCGAGCTCAAGCGCGAACCGGTGGACCCGCGCGTGCTCGACCATCTGAGCAGCGCCACTGGCTGCTCAAAGTTTGTGGCCATAGCAAATATCCCGCTCCCCATGTGGCAGAAAAGGGCCTGGGTTTTCGGTCGTTGTCGCCATTTTCGATATTGTTGCTATTGTTGTTGTTGTTGTTGTTGTTGTGGCGGTTAGTTTGCGGTCGTGATGTCAGCGGTTTGGGGTTCATGGTTCAAAGGCGGAGGCTCGGTCAGTATAAAAATGACAAAGGGGTACCATCGGGAACAAAATATTCAGGAAGAAGCCATCCTCGCACCGCAAGACACGATACCCGCGAGAGTATCCATTGTTCGGTTGTTCCTGCCAACCATGTCAAGCCCCTACACATATGGAGTTGGAAGAACGGCAATTCGCCATCAGATCAATCAAGGAGATGAACCACGAACATCTTGCAGATGGTGCGCTTTTTTGCCTCCTCGCGCCTAAGCGGCCAGTCGGATATTCGACAAACCAGACCAACACCCCCCCATGCACCCAGTTTTAGCATTGTAGGGGTGGTACGGAGTCGTGGACGACGCCCTAGCATACGTCTGTAGGTGAAATAGTACCTGAGACGCTAGAAGAGCAACGGAGTATGTGACCGAGAGAAAACCTCCGCACAAACCACTGTTTTCACCCAATGGTCGGAACTGGCACCACCAAATAAATAGAAGGATACGGTACGCCCAGCTTGGCGACATAGATAGCATGGTCGTCCGTCACAGCTTCAGAATGAAAAAACGACAACAGGGACAAAACACCGAAGCTGGAGAGAGAGATATTATCGTATGCCCTCGCTGGCAACATTCTTGGAATGCCGTGATGAAAACAGCGGAGAAGCGTGGTGCAACGAGCTCTTACGACCATAGCAAGAAACAGAGCGCCTTTGGGCAAAGACATCAGGAATAGGCCCACCAGAACAACGCCCGCGGAGCAACACGTAAACAACGTGCATGGCATCCGTGAGGGTCGACGCGATGTGCCCCCGGTTCGTACCTGTAACGTCCAAACAATGATTGGGGTACCCCGGCCGATTGTTGTCAGGCGCTTTATCAGGATGACGAATACGATGAAAAGGCACACGCTGCACATCGCGAAAGCTTGACGCCAAACGTTTCGTCGAGCTTTGACGTAGAACGCGTTCCCAGAAGCCGCACCCTGGAGGTCGGCGTTTGCGGCGAGATTCCAAGAACGAGTCAGAATTTGAAGACATCGGACGCTCGTCAACACGAATGACGTAGAGGTATGCGATGGTTTGCGGGCCCTCCTCACAACGTTACTGCCATTGCACGATGATGCGGCACATAACTCTTTCGAGTGCAGGTTTCGAACAAGATGCCTGCGTCGGGGGCAAGACTGAGCTAGAAGCGCGACCGTTAAACTCCGTATGTCCCACGGAAACCAAATCTCAAGTGCACCAGAATCGACGCTACAACCATTGCTACTACTCATTCACGACGGCAAATCCGCAGTTACCGATGCACTCGAACTACTATAACACCGCTGAGCCTGGACCATGTTTTCACGATGAATCTACGTTCATATCACCACGGTGCATATCCTCTACAACAATAGACCATGACCCCCATATGCGATACATTGCAGGGCTCAGTCCACTCCACGCAAACGATTCTTCCTTTGCAGATGGCAGCCAGCATATCGCGCCCAGTATCGAACTTTTGAGGTGCTTCAAATGCCAAATAGACCCCATCCTCCTCGAAAACAGCGCTGTGTCAGGAAGATCCGCAAGTGGGGAAAAATTATCTCACCAAAAAGACAAACATCGGACCAAGCCAGAACATTGATGCATGAGGAGATGCGCAAATCCCCTCGTGCACAAGTTGGCTTGGAATGAATGTGAAGATGCGACAATGAGTTACGCCCTGCCGACCACCATGTACACACGCTTCACCTTCAGTGATGCTTGGGTGATGCAGCGTGTGAGCTGCACAGCCACGAAGATGATGGTCGCCATCTGGTCAAATGTTGTGAGAAAGTCCGAAAAGGTGTAGCATTAACCATGACACGGACAAGAAGCAGCCGAGAGAGTGGAAAATGTTTTCAGCACACCCCTTTGATAGGGGCAATACCCGAACGGGGTGGAATCTATCCGTAAGTGTATGTACTCGGATCATATATTCTTAATCTCACCACCTGGAAAGATTTTCCATCTTGGCCAGCCTCTGCCCAGCGGCCATTCACTTTTCACGACCACGACCTGTGCGACATGCCTTTCCCAAACTCTAGGATAGCCAGGTCCGAAACTTAGCAAAAACTTACCGCAATCAATACCCCGAAGACCGAAGCCCCATCTGATATCAACTGGGGCCAAAGAGGAACGAAAATGCTCATGAAGCCCAAGGAACATATCCCTCCGGCGTTGAGGCACCCCATAATGATGAAGACGTGGTGCTCATCTGACGCTCTTCTGAGCTTTCTCGCAAAACTGTCCGCTGGAAGGAACTGTGAAAAGAACGTTCATCGCACGGCGGCATCGTGAGTGTGTTGATCGGCTGATGGAAAGGAGTGGGTACACAACGCTGCATCCGATGCTTAACGATGTCTGCCTGGCGTCGCCTTTGGGGGCACAAGAGACGGGCAGGTTGGTGGGCGTTTGGCATCAAGGCTGTTGCAGAAGCACTACGCAACTGCCTAAACTCGAAAAAAACTGGCGTCCGATGGCCTTTCTGTTCGCATTTTCCAGCCACAGAAGGAATATCGGGAAAGCACCGGCCGATCCGTTCGTTTTGTTGGCCGATCGGAGCATTTCTACAACGTCGCCCCAATACCGATAGGAGTACTTCTATGAGACGAAGTGAGGTATTTAATGTTGTGACTCAACCACGGCCCACACATGGGGGTAAAAATTGCCCGCTCGAAAACCATGGCCTGTCAATTTGTTCGTTGATGGTCGTTATCCTGCCGCTCAACTTGTTAAAAGTGCATTTCCGATGTACCAGTTGAGAGCTAATAAATAAGAACGACAAGAATCCAGAGTCCACGAGAGATCAAATTGACTTAGCGAAACAAGGCGTGCAGACATTGGGATTATCAATGCATTTTCACACCCTTGGCGTGCAGGCATTCTTTTGCATATGCAAACCTGAATTGGCATGCTGGCCACCCAGAACTCGGCGATTACCGCGGCACAGAACATCGCAGAGGGTATCAGTGCTATGTACAGGGCCTGCACAACTCCGGCGTCGTTCACATTCGTTCGCCCCCTCCGCACCGCCAGAGCAACGCCGATAATCCCCACACCGATGACGTAGAAGCTGAGAAGGAAAAAAATGAACGAAATCCGTTTGAGGCGTGGGGCGGGCAGACTTTAGGCAGTGAGATCGTGCAATATGACGAGAATAACTTACGGTCTATTGCCGCCTTCTTCCACTCAGTCACTATATGCCACGGTAGAAGGGCGCCGTCTTTCGCTCGCTTTCTAGTGTGTGCGCGTTCCGTATGACCTAAAGTATTTTGATTACCCGCACTCGTTTTTCAAAATTTCAGGTTTGGGGACACTAAAAATGAAGAGCAGTGGCCAATAGCGGGTACACCCGGTCCAAACACGGCCATATTCGGGTACCCCTACAATGTCCTGCTGGGAACGACCGCATGACATCATTTGATTGGCCGACGCCCACCACTACCCCACCTTGACCGTCTTTCCACCGGGTGCACCCGATCGTGGCTACTCGCCCCCTGGAGGGGTAACCCGGTTATTATGCCCCCTACTCGAAAATGGTTGGGCTGTTTTTTCGGCCAAACCCCATGCGCACAAGTAAGTACACGTCA